GATCAAATTATGTTTTTACTTTATAAACATTACTGAAGATCAACTTCTGTTGCTACTGTATAAACATCATTGTAAATCAACTTTTGTTGTTACTGTATAAATATTATTGAAGATCAACGTTCTTTTGCTACTGTATAAACAGTATTGAAGATCAACTTCTGTTGCTACTGTATGAAAATCATTGAAGATCAACTTCTGTTGGTACTCTATAAACATTATTGAAGATCAACTTCTGTTGCTACTGTATAAACATTATTGTAGATCAACTTCTGTTGCTACTGTATAAACATTATTGTAGATCAAATTCTGTTGCTACTGTATAAACATTATTGTAGATCAACTTCTGTTGCTACTGTATGAAAATCATTGAAGATCAACCTTCTGTTTCTACTGTAGAAACAATATTGAGTGTGCAGCAACTAATAAATAAAGGGAAATATCTTAATTACTGTGTGACTACTCTGACAATATGAGCTATATTAGATAACTTAATCGGTCTGTCAAAACTTCTCCAGCACATAATAATTTTATTTCAAGTTATTTTATCAATTTATCTTTTTTCTTCCATAATTGTGACCTTTGGAATTAGTACCTACCTGCAGCCGTAATGTTGAAGGTCAAATTTCCTGTGATACCGGGCTGAATACTACGGGAACAAGTATCGTGCAAACCTGACATCCGGGTAACTCGCGAATGAGCTGAGAAAACCTGAGACGTATATACAGATACATATATTAATAATGTAACTATTGTATTGTATATAAGTATGGAGAATTTGTTGTATTCAATAATTGGATTATGATTTCAGGAATCTTATCGCACCACAATGACTTAATTAGTCCAAATCACATAAAACGGTAATAATGTGAGTTACAGATGATGTACTATTGGCCGCCATTTGTCGTCAGTAAGTAACTGCAAATACACCTTCTCCAGCTACTGTTATTCTGTCTCAAAATTAGTTTGTTTTTTGAATTTCGCGCAAACCTACACGACGGCTATCTGCGCTAGCCGTCCCTAATATAGCAGTGTAAGACTAGAGGGAAGACAGCTAGTCATCACCACCCACCGCCAACTCTTGGGCTACTCTTTTACCAACGAATAGTGGGATTGGCCGTCACATTATAACGCCCCCACGGCTGAAAGGGCGAGCATGTTCGGTGTGACGGGGATCCGAACCTCTCAAAATTAGTTCAGATCTTAAATTTTACGTTATCAGTAAACTATAATAGAGGTACTTTACTGTTTGATATACAGATTAATTTGTTTTCAAACATATCTATATTGGTTAATCTAAACAGCCACATAAGTCACTTTGGACAAATATTGATTATAAAAACGGTGAACTTTATAGAATAAATCAATAAACAATCTAGTGCTTATTATAAATAAAGTCGTTGAATGTACAATAATTGTTATTTTACATCGAATATGATCCGAAAAAAAGCTTTTTTTCTCTATCTTTAAAAGTTTCACTTTATACTAAAAACAATTTTATTTCACAAATCTCGTGGATAGTAGGAAAATATAAATCTTTGAATGAACTTAGAAAAACAAGAATTTAAATATAATTTTGTGCACGAACGTGTTTTTCATTAAAACAAGCAGAGTATATATTTGTTCAATGCGTGATATACAGAGGAGAAGACGTTCTGGGCATCCAATTGTCGTAGGTTAAACCCATCGTTAGGTAAATATTTCGGTAATTTTGCTTCATTTAAAATGACAAAGAGACGAAGAGAAGATGAAAAAAGAGAAAGTTAATTATAGAGGTCTGGGTCGTAGGCCCTACACTGAGAAGCCTGGCGTTTTGCTTAAATGACCGCCACCACTTACAAGTCATCCATTACCTGATTAAAGAGCGGATAGGAAATAAGAAGCATGACCATGAAGCTTTTTAAGCACTTTAGAATATCAAATCACCCTCTTGTTTTGAAACGACATACAAATGAGTCGATCACGAACCCAGAGAAAGTTTCAGACGTGCAATTACCTCGTGGCAATTACCAGTAACTCTAGACTTGAGAACGAAGTCCAAAGCTTCAGAAACTGTTTCCGGTAATTTAAGCATTAGCGGAACATAACAGTTTATCTTAAGCTGAAGAACTCTAATAATCGTTAGCTCAACATTTCCATAGGGCGTAATGAAATTTAAACTCTTAGAAGCTTTTGTTATGAAGTTTGATCAGGAGCGGGTTGTTTGGTTATATTTGTGTATATCAACCTCAAATACGTGGCAAAATGAACCCATCATTTAACTTATTGAAAATATGTCATGTTACACTTATACAGACATAGTAAGTTGATGTAAGAAAATGAACCCATCATTTAACTTATTGAAAATATGTCATGTTACACTCATACAGGCCTAGTAAGTTGATGTAAGAAAATGAACCCATCATTTAACTTATTGAAAATATGTCATGTTACACTCATACAGGCCTAGTAAGGTGATGTAAGATCGATTACTTCGGTCATTTCTACCCGATCAATTATCAATAGTTCCTTATATAAGCATCTCCAGAGAAGAATAAAAAAAAAAGATGTGTAGTAATTCCATGCACAATCTGAGAGAAGGCAATTCATGTTTATATGCTGCTCCAGGAAAAAAACAAACTACACGCTGATACGTTGAAGTCCTATGCTCCATCAAACATCTATTGCCTTAGGGAATGACGGCATACCTTCTATAGTTTTAACAGATAACGGAATACCATGTATAATAGTTTCAGGAAAAAATTAATACCCCTGTATAGCTTTTAGAAAAAAAAATATGTAATACTTTCTATAGCTTTTAAGAAATATTAGAATGCCTTTTATAGTTTGAATCGTGTTTTCAAGCTCTAAGTCGAAAGGTTTTTACCTTTAATAACTGAGTTGTATATTCATAATTTGTGAGTACTCGTAACTTGTCTTGGAAGCACAAAGAAATATTTACGATTCATTTAAAGAAGTCTTTCCTTTCCATACAAGTATGCTATATCTTCTCTTGTTGTGTGCTTATATTATGTAACTACTCGTGGATCGAGATACTGATTGAAATCAGAGTAGATCGACATAATTAACGATTTCAAAACTTTTATTTACAAACAAGTAGGTTGAATAAAAGCCAACCACAAACAAATGAAAAACGAACTTAACAAGTTACTGAGTTTCGTCTAGACACTACAGGATAATATTGGTTGCTACAGTATGTAGCGTTTTGTCTAGAAACTACAAGATAAGATTGGTTACTTCAGTATTTAAAGTTTTGTCTAGACACTACAGGATAAGCTTGGTTACTACAGTATGTAGAGTTTCGTTTAGACACTACAGGATAAGCTTGGTTACTACAGTATGTAGAATTTCGTCTAGACACTACAGGATAAGCTTGGTTACTACAGTATGTAGAGTTTCGTTTAGACACTACAGGATAAGCTTGGTTACTACAGTATGTAGAGTTTCGTCTAGACACTACAGGATAAGCTTGGTTGCTAAAGTATGTAGAGTTTCGTCTAAACACTACAGGATAAGCTTGGTTACTACAGTATGTAGAGTTTCGTCTAGACACTACAGGATAAGCTTGGTTGCTAAAGTATGTAGAGTTCCGTCTAAACACTACAGGATAAGCTTGGTTACTACAGTATGTAGAATTTCGTCTATAGGATGTAAAATTTTAATAAGCAATAGTACGTTATATGTTTTATTGAAGTATAAGCAGCAAACAAAAGGTAGAAACTGTAGCATTGCTGTTTGGGATAGCGCGTGTGGGGTGTTTTAAGTAACTGTATAACAATACAAGAAAATGTTGCGGCGTAAAGGATTCGGTAATGTACAGGGTAGGCGGTAGCAAAGGATACTAATTTAGTTTCATTTCATGCTACTATTAACAAAAACTTGTTCTTAGGGCTAGTCTCCGACAGAGAAACAGTGACTGGTCTGTTTAAGGTTACCAAACGTGAAGATAAAATATCAAAGTTCGCACTAGGATTAACAAATAAGTGTCTCAAAAGTAATATGCCACTCCTTGTACCATAATTAAACATTTTGTGGATAATAGCAACTCTAGGGTACCAGTTAAACTGTTAAACTGGAAAAGCACAACATACCCAATATTGTACATATTAAGACAATAAACTCATCCCAAATGCTCTTAGGATATACCAAAA